ACTCGAGAGTCAAACTCTCAAGTGTATATTTTCTCAAGAACTCTAGTACAATCCATCACCGCTGAGGATTCTGCAAAGGGATACTAAACAAGCAGATGGTAATTGAATTTTCATTTCTCGGAGCTGTCTACTAGAATACTACTATATACACCAAGGACAGTACATCTACGAAATCCCTGCAGCCTCTCTCACATAGCCGGGATAGCCTAGTGGTTATGACGTCTGCCTTACACGCAGAAGGTCGCGAGTTCGACCCTCGCTTCTGGTATCGTTATTTTCGAGATGCGATAGCTTCTTTGGTTTCGAGGATACAATACTATTCGTGAGAGGCCTTTTCGCAGTAATACTTACGTAAGAGCTTTCCAGTAATAGACAATGCGATGATACTACGGATGAAAGTGAACTATCCTAGAGGACGTGATTTAGCGCTATGGGCAACGTTCCCTGGTTCAATGATTAAAGTGCCAATTTGGTAGGCCGAACTAATCCCTCGTTGACATGCTAGTGTTGTTGGTGTTGCTTTTAAAGATTCATCCGAGAGATTCCCGCGGACTACTCCGTCAACTACCGAACGCAAGAAAAGATACTTAATGAGACAACTCCATGACATTAGATTTTAGGAAGTCTCGAGTCCTTACGAGCCGAGGAATACCTGTGAGGCAACTCAAAAATCTTAGTAGTTGGAATATCTGCATGGACTGGATTACATGGGACATCTTCTCGATTAATTATTAATACAACTAACAGGCATTCATTTCTACTATTGGAAGCGTTCCATACAAGCCCCCCTCAAGCTTACTCTCCTAAGTGGTTCGGAAGTTGACCAATTGTATATGAACCTGCCAAGGTATGAAGACCGACCCCACGAGAATGGTATCTTACTCCTACTGCGTGCTCGCAAGGCGACCACCTCCCTTTGAGCTTTCGAATCCTCTTCTTCCATCTTATACCGCTGATGCGGCGTCAGCCAATCCGTATTCGACCGACGGGCAGGCCTGAGATCTCTCACCGAGTAACCTCAGATACTATTAATTCTCACTTTCTTTTTTTCTCAGCCTTCCTATTAAAAGTCAAGGTAGCAACTTTTGACTGCAAATCCTGACAAAAAAATCACAAAATTTTTCTGAATTCAGAAATTTACCTCGATTATTTTCCGTAATTCTCGTTTTTCAAATCGTAGTTTATTCAGCTCTTCTATCATCGCTGAATTATCTCCCATCATTTTTCGTCGTCCTCCAACACTTTCCTCGACTAAATTGGAATTTTTCTCCCTCAGTTTTCGCGTCTTCGCAACGAGAAACTGAAAAGAGCCAAAATTCTGTCTTAAACCACAAATAAAAAATAACCCGGAGAAAAAGTAGTTTTTTTCTGAAAAAAAATCTTTAAAATTTCCTCCCAACTAACATTCCTCTGAGAAATGAGCTCCTTCGTCAGGAGGGCGGGAGAGCTGTCAATAACACTGCTCATATCCTTCTCGACTGACTTTTCCCTAGGACCTGAAAAATCCAAAAAGTCGCCAGGAACGCCTTTTCAGTGGAAAAATACTTTTTTGAACAACTTCACCAAAGACGACGAAAAAGTGCAGCAGAAATGATATTTTCCACACCTTTTAATTTTGCCAATTTAATTCCAATCTTTCTCTCCTCGCGAGAAACAAGATCTCTCAATCGTTTTACCTAAAAACAAAAAAATACAAAATTTCTGAAATTTTCCCTTACCACGCCACCATCCGAATCCGACATGGCGTCCCGCACGCCCATGAGAAGCTGCCCGACCTCATCAGCAATACCTGAGTACTCGAGGTTCACTCAAGAAGGATACAAAATAAAAGATATTATTTTTTGGGAGGAAAATATGAAAATTCTGAGGAAATTTTCGTTGGTTTTTTCTACCGGAATTCGCAAGTGAACTCTTGAGCTCAGCTGAGAAAATCAACACATATATTGGAGTTTCACCACCCTAGTGATATGAAAAACATATTTCACGACTACTGGATATCACCGCGAGAATCGCGTTTTCAACCAAGTTTTACGCCAGTTCACGAGTAAAACTCCAACATTTTCAGTTTACCATCATTTCTCTTCTTCAGTGCATTCGTTTGACTTTGCGACTTCAAAAGTTTCCGTCCGCCTTCGTCAAGACGATTTTCCAAATTTTTCCTCAATTCAAATTCGCCCATAAATTCCCGATAAATATCATAAACCTAAAATGACATATCAAAATCGATCAGCTGATCGATTTCAACCCACCGCGTTTCGTAATGCAGTTACTTGCTCTTTCAAAGGTACTTTTTCTTCCTCCAACTGCTTCACACGATTAAGGAGAACCTTCAAAAACCAAGGAGCAAAAAAAATAAAAAGAAAATAAAAATAAAATTCGTCGGGGTGCTGAATGTAAATCGATCGAAGACCACCTAAACCGTACTGATAGTCGTGGGACATTCAATTCACATAAAACTCACCAAATAGCATCAACTCCAACATACTCCCCGAATTTACATATCTGAAATTCTCGAGGCTTTTCGATTCTCTTTCCACAGTTATTAATTTCTCCTCTTTTTGCCGCATCGTTCTACGTTGCTGGTTAACCAAATCCGCCGTTTTTTCTGAACAAAAATGCAAAATTTTCGGGAAAATTTTTTTTATTTTATTATCACCAGCATTTATTCGATTCTCCTCAGCTTCATTTTGCATTTTTTTCAACTCATTTTTCAAAAATTTTATTTCCTCCTCATTTTCCAAACCAACCCGTTGTAATCGTACCATCGCTTGCTCCAATTCAATC